CCCCAATTTCACAGGTCCTCAGGGTCTCAGGGAAGAGCCAGGGGACAGGCTGTCTATCCAGTTACAGAAAAGCCGCCACGGCTTCCAGAGGGTCCTTTTGGGGAGCAGGGGTCACTGGTACTCATGGGAATAACCCCAATGAACTCACTGGGGCTCCAGGGTGAACTTCAGTGTTATCGGACCTTGGTTTATTGTTCTGACCTTGGGAGAAGGGAGGATGTTTATGTCTCCTCCATGAAAAGAATTTTAGCAGTGATTTTCCAGAGAATACGAACATGAGGCAGACAGCGGTCAGCAGAAGCATGGACTGTAGGAATGGAAGATGGCTCAGCAGCTGTGTTCTCGCTACGGAGGCATGAAGTTTGGATCCCCGAGGCCTGTGCACATACCTGCCGTGCATACCTGCAAACCCAGAACTTGGGGACAGTCGGGTCATTTTAGCTAAATCTGAGCACTCAGACACAAAAGGTATTCTATCCCAAATAATAAAAGAACTGAAGAAAACACCTGATGTCAGCTGCAGGGTTCCACAACAAATGTACCCTCCCCTCCCCCACCCCACTTCCACACATAAAACAACAGCATCTTAACACAATCATGGTAATATGTATTAGGGATGGCTGAATTAAAAGGGGTTAGGCAGGCTAGTTCAAACCCAGTTATTTGAATCTATGCGAGCCACAGACTGTCCTGAAGACAGGCTTGTGTCTCACAGGAGCTGCTCTGCTCCGAGGGGAAAAGCCCCTCTCTTCACCCCCCACCCCCGGGGCACACTACCTTGCCGGGTCTCCCCTATAGCTCTTGGCAAGGAATTTCTCCGTAAGTAGCCAACGCTGCTACAGCCTGACAAAGGCTTTTAGTGTGAGACTTAGAAAAGCTTTTCATTCTCTCCTCCTTCTTGCGGATAGAGTTGGGTTTCTCTAGTTGTTGAGGTCACACACCCCATCCTTCTAGGATCCAACTCTGCTTTCTCCAGTTATCTATCCACGGTTACTTGTGCTACTTGGAAATGAAACAGAAATGCTGCTTGCACAAGCATTACTTCTTACAGAATGTGCACTTTCAGAACGTGGGAATGGAGAGGTGCTGGCTGAGGACTCACTGCTCTTTTGGAAGACCAGAGTACAGTTCTCACCAGATCACAGCCACTTGTAATTCCAGATACCCTCTTCTCTCCTGGCACGCAAACTCCCCCCATCCACACTCATGAATAGAAATCTAAAAATTTTTAAATCTAAAATAATCAGAAAAGTTTCCTTTCAATAAAAATTATGGCTAGAAGAGTTTTGTTCTTCTAAATTACGGGGGTCTACATGGAAAGGAAGAGAATGGAACTCTAGGGATAAGTGAAGCAACAGTAGACAGTAGTACATTATAAAAAAGCTTCATCTGAATAAACTTACATAAGTGTTCTTGGATATAGCCCTGCTGATACAGGGCCTGCCTAGCATGCCCGAGGCCAACCACTTCGAAAGGGAAGGGAAGAGATAGGTAGAAAGGGATAGGGAATGGAGGGAATGGAGGGGGAGAAAGGAGGGAGGGAAGGAGGGAGAGAATAAAGGAATAAAGCTGGGACTTTGATGACGCCCACTGTTTTTTTGACTGAGTACCTTTCTCAGCGGGTAAATACGGGAAAAGTTAGAGGCAGGTACTGTTTTGACTTTCACAAGATCTCTGGGAAGGGCATATATGGATGACACTGGATAAAACAAAACCCAGTAAGCACGTGAGACCTCTCCCTGATCAGGTAGGATGCAAACCACAGGCAGCAAAATGTGCCATTAACTTGCTGCTCCTGTGAATTGTACATTCCTTAAAAACGAGCCCCCTCTCGGGATGGGGATTGAGCATTTTTCCAAAAGGCGAAGAGGAAGGACATCAGAAGAAGAAGAAAACAGGCAACAAGCTAGAAACCTGCCAGAGAGGGCCTCTAAAAAGGCTCTGCCCTTCAGACTATCAAAGCAGATGCTGAGACTTATGGCCAACTGTTGGGCAGAGTGCATGGAATCTTATGTAAGAAGTGGGAAATAGTAAGATCTGGAGAGGACAGGGTCTCCACAAGGAGAGCAACAGAACCAGAAATTTGAACACAGGGAACTTCCCAGAGACTCATACTCCAACCAAGTACCATGCATGGAGATAACCTAGAACCCCTGCACAGATGTAACCATGGCAGTTCGGTGTCCAAGTGGGTCACATAGTACTGGGAAGAGGGACTGCCTCTGGCATAAACTGATTGGCCTGCTCTTTGATCACCTCCCCCTGAGGGAGGAGCAGCCTTACCAGGCCACAGTAGAGGACAATGCAGCCACTTTTGATGAGAACTGATAGACTAAGATCTGAAGGAAGGAGAGGAGGACCTTCCCTATCAGTGGACTTGGAGAGGGGCATGCGTGAAAAAGGGGGTGGGACGGTGAGATCAGGAGGGGAGGAGGGAGGGACTTATGGGGGATACAAAGTGAATAAAGTATAATTAATAAAAATAAAAATAAAAAAATAAAAAAGAGCCCCCTCACATCCTGAATCCTATAATCTGGCTACTGCAGCTATTCCTGGGATGACTGCTTATGAGATCCTGCCTCAAAAACAAACAGAGTAAACAAATTAAGGATAACAGCAACAGCATGGCTGCAGAAAGCCTGACCAGAGACTGGTGTGCAAAGCTAAATGCCGAGGTGACATTTCGCCACACTCTGCTCTGAACTACTGCTGCACAGGCACCATGACCATCAAGGGGGAATGTGGACATGTCGTCCTTGTGTGTTACACACACAGCGGGCAACAAAGTTGAGCGTGTCTGTGACTAAGGAGGATGGTAGAAACACTAGCACCCCATGAAGCAATACACTCTATTCAGTTCTGAAGTCATTTTCTGAATCTAGATAGACTTACTTCATCTAGGCTAGATCCCTCAGCTCTGAGTTCCCATGACAGAGTCCACACCAGCCTTTCACAGAGCTGGTGGAGCCCACTCATCGTGAGGGCATCACGTGCCGCCAATTAGGGGTAGCCATGTTCTAAATGCTGAAGGTGTGAAACCTGTGGTTGCATCTCACAGTTATTAAAGTGATCATGGATGCTAGGCATAGGCTTGGGAAAAGAACCACATTCACTTGCTCCTCTGGAGAAATCATTATCGCCAGATGAGGGTGAAATGCTTAGCATCTTTCTTTTTTTTCTTTTCCTTTCTTTTTTTTTTGTTACAATTTATTCACTTTGTATCCCAGCTGTAGACCCCTCCCCTCATCTCCTTCCAGTCCCACCCTCCCTCCCTCTTCTCCCCTCTATGCCCCTCCCCTAGTCCACTGACAGAGGAAGACCTCCTCTCCTTCCATCTGACCCTAGCCTATCAGTCTCATCAGGGCTGGCTGCATCCTCTTCCTTTGTGGCCTGGCAAGGCTGCCCCACCAGTGGGAAGTGATCAAAGAGCCTGCCACAGAGTCCATATCAGAGACAGCCCCTGTTCCCCTTACTAGGGCACCCACATGGAGACTGAGCTGCCACAAGCTACACCTGAGCGGGGGATGGGGGGTGGGGAGGTCAGTCTAGGTCCTCTCCATGGTCCTTGTTTGGAGCATCAGTCTCTACAGGACCCCATGGGCCAAGATTATTTGGCTTTGTTGTTCTCCTTGTGGAGCTCCTGTCCCCTCCAGGTCTTTCAATCTCATCCTTCTTCCCTAAGATCACTGCACTCTCCCCAAAGTTTGGCTATGAGTCTCAGTATCTGCTTCCATACCCAGCCGGGTAGAATCTTTCAGAGGCCTTCTGTGATAGGCTCCTGTCCTGTTCCCTGTCTTCTCTAACTTCCTGTCTATCCTGTTTTCCCTTCTGAATGAGGATTAAGCATCTTCCCTAGGGTCCTCCTTGTTGTTTAGCTTCTTTAGGACTATAGATTTTAGTATGCTTATCCTATGTTATATGGCTAATATCCACTTACAAGTGAGCATATACCATGTGTGTCTTTCTGCTTCTGAGCTACGTCACTCAGGATGATCTTTTCTAGTTCCATCCATTTGCCTGCAAATTTCATGATTTCCTTGTTTTTAATTGCTGAGTAGTATTCCCTTGTGTGAATTTTCTGTATCTGTTCTTCAGTTGATGAACATCTAGGTTATTTCCAAATTCTGGCTATTAGGAATAAAGCTGTTATGAACATAATAGCCTAAAGGCTGGGAAAGGATTTTCACCAAACCTGTATCTGACAGAGGGCTAATACCAAGAATATATAAAGAACTCAAGTTGTTAAACACCAACAAATTAAGTAATCCAATTAAAAAAATGGGGTACAGACCTAAACAGAGAATTCTCAACAGGGGGATATCAAATGACAGAGAAACACTTAGATGTTCAACATTCTTAGTCATGTGGGAAATGGAAATCAAAATGACCCTGAGATTTTACCTTACACCCATCAGAATGACCAAGATGAAAAGTCAAGTGACAACACATGCCGAAGAGGACATGGAGAAAGGGGAACCCTCCCCCATTCCTGGTGGGAATGTAAATTTGCACAACCACTTTGGAAATCAATATGGCTCTTTCTCAGAAAATTAGAAATAGCACTATCTCAAGATCCAGCTATATGCCATTCCTGGGCATATATCCCAAAGATGCTCAACAGTACAACAAGGACATTCGCTTAGCATTTCTTTTGCTGCATAGTGACTTTTTGAAGGAGGGCCAGATTTTATGTGGATGTGTCTATCTCCTGTGTTAATCTCTACGTCATCTTCAGAGTTGAGCTAACAAGTGGGATGGAAGTGGAGCTTGGCTGTGGAGAGGGACAGAAGGCTTTCCTTTCAGTGGCAGGCTCCCGTGTGAGGAACCGAGATTCAGTACCAGGAACTTGGGGACAGTGCTGGGTCAGGCCACACCAACTTCCTCACTGGGGGCAACTTCAGCAGGGACTGACCAGTTACAGCGGAGCAGTAAAAGTTAATCTTTAACCTGGAAGTCAGCAGCACTTCCGGATGACTCAGTGGTTTGGCTGCCAGTTTGCAGGCCCACACCCCTGGGGAGGTCGTGCCAACTCAAGCCTGACCAGAGAGTCAGGCCACCTTTCTCCAGAGTGGCCAGGACAGCTCAGCCAGGGGCCCTCACACAAGACAACCTCTGCTTTGCCACTGTACTCCACGCGCTTCGGATGCCCAGGAGCTGCTGTGATGCCCAGGTAAACACCACAGGAGACTGTGTCTGATGAGCCGCTGCTGGGGAGGGGCTTCCCTGGCAGGGTGGAGTCCTGGGCCAATTGTCAGCTCTGAACAGAACTGGGTGTGGTGGCTGGTTCACACCTATAACCTCAGAACTCAGGAGGTGGAGGCCAAAGGCTCGAAAGTTCCAAGTCCAAGGCTACACAGTGAGTTTCAGACCAGCTGGGCTCCAGGAGCCCTGCCTCAAACTAACAGCAAAAATGACCAGGACAATTCCAGTCCACTCGGCACCCATGGTGGTTTTCTTATAAGTAACTGCCGTGAGAATCAACGCTGAGAGGGACAGACGACATCTTTGTTATTACGAACAGGAAGAAGGCTTTGGGACACGGTCCAGTGAGAGAGTACCTGCCTGCAGGTGCAAGGCCATTCCTGAATTGGACCTAAAACTGCTTTTCTTTTTTCCTTTGAATTAAAAAAAAAAAGTGAAATTGTTGCGGTTTAAAAGTTCTCCTTGAGATGTGGTTCACAGCGGTTACAAGGACGGGAAATGGTTAAGAGCTGCTGCATGCACGGACGATGGCTGGACACAGAATCAGGACCTCACCGCACATGCTGGGAAAACGCTCCAGCACTGAGCCACAGCCCTGGACCCCGGAGGCCAGGCTTAAGGATTGCAGAGAGAGCCAGGGCAGGAGACGTGCTGAGGCCAGCATCTCGGCAGGAGCACAGCCTGGGAGGAACACCATGCGGTTTTGCACACTCAGCATCAGGTGGGCAGAGCAGAGACAGCCAAGGTAGAATTAGCCTGGGAGGAGGAGGTGCAGACAGCTCTGAGCAGCCTGGATGGCTGCACGCCTGCCTCAACAGAGCGAGGGCAGAGGCGGAGGGCCGTCTGAGGCGCAGGAAGGTGCACATAAGGAAGGGGGCCGACACGGGTGTGCGTCTGGAGGCAGAGCCCTGGGGACTATCCTCAACATACCTGCGCTGGTGAGGGCCTCGACCACCATGCTAGGAGAGGAGGTATGTACAGATGGCAGCGTGTGCTCGGTAACAAGATCATTAAGATTGTGGAGGAGGGGCTGGGGGAGTGCAGCCAAGCAGCAGAGTGCTTGCCTGACAAGCAGGAAGCTGCGGGTTCTAGCCCAGGCCCTGCTAAAAAGGAAGGGTGTGAGGAGGAAAGAAAGAATGTGTGGGCAGAAAACAAACCAACCAACCGGGAGGCACACAGAGAACAGCAGCGCAGAAATCAGGCAGAAACAACATTCAGCAGTCAGGACCAACAGGCACAAACTTTTGTATCTCAGAGCTGGCAACAGGAATGGGTGCTTTTGGCAGCACACACGATAGCAGTGTGGCGTTGGGTGGATTTCACAATGGCTGAGGCCCAGGCACAGGTCCGGCAGCATGGTCTCCAAAGAACACAGAAAGGTGGCCAGCCTGGCACCTGGCTCCAGGATTCAGCTGCAGGGTAGAAGGCCGGATTTCCAGGTACCCTAACCCCACATCACAGCGTGAGCTGACAGGTTAAGTTACTTCCCTGAGAGTTCTTAGTCTGACCATAAACTATAGCTAAAATGAGTGCCGTCCCGGGTTACGGTGAGGGTGAGCGGGCGAGGGAGAACAATGTTCTCCGCAGATGGGCACCAGCTACAGCCATGGCGACTGCCAAAAGCCGGCTGCAGCTGGCTGCCAAGGAATGCTTTTCCTGTAAAGAGTCATGGCCTGCTTGTGGCGCCCCAAAACCAGAAATGGGGACCCAGCAGTGACGACGGCAGCAAACAGTGAAATGAGGAGTGAAAGGGATAAAGCAAGAACGGGTACCTACATCCAGCCCAGCCCGTCTCCACCTTCTGTTTACTCTGCAGACTCGGAAGATAAAGCAGTCACTCTTTCCCTGAGAGGAGGTCTCCACAGGGTTCACAAGGACAACCTTGCATTTCCAACCCTCCTGCCTTCACTCCCGAGGCAAGGAGTCTGCAGGTACACCCTCAGGCTCAAGCACACAGTGTGGGCCCACACAGGCACGTCCCTGCATACCCAGAGTTTTCTGTTTCAAAGACTGAAAATAGTCACACAAGGAGAGACGGGGAACGTGGGGGTGGAAGCAGTTAATTATAATATAAGTATTATAAATATGGGGAGAGACTAAGGAGGTGTGGCTGTCGTCACCCCGTCAAAACACACCCCCAAGACGCTGAGTGCAGGAGGGGGCTGGGCGCCAGCTGTGCTCACACGGCGGCAGTCCAGGTTCCTGCAGGAGACAGCCCAGAGCACCCAGTTGTTGAGGCGCGTGTGCGTGCAGGTGTGAGAGGCCTGAGGCCGACACATGCCTCAATGGCTGCTCACCCTCCGAGCAGAGCAAGCATTCCCGGCTTCTTCAAGGGGGGTCCTACCCCCTTCTCCTGAACCCTGACACTTTGAATCTTAGGAACACCCTCACGTGGCAGGCGGAGCATCATGCTTGAATCGATCAGCTCTAGAGCACACAACCCTCAGAGCTGGGGAGCTGTGAACAGCCCAACGGGTGGGCACAAGCACGGTTAGCACACCTCTGTGCAAGGCTGCCGCACTGGGGAATCCATCCATCACAACGTGGCACACCTCCAGAGCTTGGGAAGAATGCCCTGTGGGCTGTCTGCTCAGTGCCGGGACGTGTACGTGCAAGACAGGTAAAGACAGTGGCATCGTCTTCCGAAGGGGGTGCTGGCATTGCCACCGCACTCACGGTTCCTACAGACAGGAGTGTTTTGACTGCCTGGTCTACTGCTTACTCACTAAACAGGTCTGGTTTGCTCAACACTTGCTGCCACTGTCTACATTTAAAGAAGCTGACCATGTGGTGAAGGAGAAGGGCGGAGAAAGTAGCTAGGAACACTGGCCAGGGAAAGGGAGACAGGGCGGAGGGAATTCTGGAAAGCCAGCCAAAGGGAGTGCTCCCAAAGCCATGGTTCTGGGGCCAGGAGTGCCTGGTCACACAGACCAGCTCAGGAATGCAGCAGGGAGGGCGGGCCATCCCACTCAGCGGGATGTGCTCTGGGATTCTGATGCTGGTGACCGATTCTGCCAGCTCCCAGTTCTGTGATGTCCTGCCTAGAAGGCTACCCTTTATGGCTTAGGTGTAAAATTCCACTTAGAGTTAATGGCCCAGGAACCAGGGGTCTGTTTATACTGGCTTCTGGGCCAATGTTTGATGGCTGCTCGGAGCTGATGTTATGGCCAGGAGCTCTTAACAGTCCCAGAGATCCAGGTGGAGCTAGCCTGAAGTCTGGAAGAGGCCTTAGGCACAGAGGTGGAAGTCAAGCATGGGGTTATCCGCAGTTAGCTTCTGTTAGAATTCCTCGGTACCGACGGTGCACCAGTCAGCCAAGGGTACGGCAAAGCACCAACATTTTGTGCCACTCTCAGCTTTAACCCAAGGAAAAAGATAGACACTCAAAGGTAACTCAGTGAAAAGGAGAAAAGATATTAAGAAGAAGTGTGGCAGGAATGTCATTGTAGCAGAGAGTGCAGTTTGCAGTTCTGAATCCACCACCCTGAAAAGCAAAAAGAAACAGATCCAAGAGTGAAGCCATGGTGTATGCATACATGTGTGTAGGTGGGAACTCTTGGGCATGGTGTGTGGGTGTGTGGGTATGTGAGAGTGTGAGTGTGTGTGTGTGTGTGTGTGTGTGTGTAGGTGGGAACTCTTGGGATATTCCAGGCAGAGGGATAGAAAGGACAGGTGGCTAGGTGATGTCACAGAACAGAAAGCCAGCAAACAGATGGCAGTTGGGGATGTAAAGGAGGAAAGCAGGCCATCATCACAGGCCGGGGACTGTGACCGAGGTTTTTCACTTGGAACTGGGTGATGTGGAAAGCCATGGGGGGGGGGGTGCTGAACAGAAGAGGGACTCACTCCAGCTTCTTTCTGCCTTCCAGCTGCAATGGGCATATTAGACAACTTCTGTCCAAACCAGGAAGGGCACCAGGTGCAGACACAGGCTGAAAGATCGCAAATACTCAGGCCCTCCACGTCTACTCTCCAGGCAACCTCAAAGGTTGGCCCCCAGATTGCTCGCAGCCTCCATTTCTGACTCTGACCACTGACAGGCTACCTTCTGTGGTCACAGAGGGCAACAAGGGCAGCGAATGCTCAGGCAACAGACTGGGGCTGGAAGAGGCTTCTGCATATCCACCAGCTTCATGTTGGATGTAAGGATTGCTATCAGGGATTGTTCCAAGGTTTCAGAGCTAATAAAGAGAAGATAGCCAGGCAGAGAAAGGAAGAGGCAGATACACAGCGCTGGGGCAGAGGACACACAGCTTTGCAGCCACTTGCCAAGTGAAAAAAATGTCAAAGAGGCCACTGCCCACCCAGAGCTCAAAGGAGATGTTAAGACACACAAACTTGGGAGCCCTCTGCTTACCCTGGGAACCTGAAGGCTCTGCTCCAGATGAACCCAGCACAAGGAAGAAAACAACATGGATAGGGGAGAAGGGACAGGTCCTGCAGACCCCCAGGACTAGAGAGCTAGATGATGACACGGGATGAGAAAGGAAGTGAGCAGAGCAGGCCACAAGCAGGTGGGCTCAGCATAGGCTAGAAAGAGCAAGAACAGCCATGGAAGCTACAGAATGGAGACTGCTGGTGGGCTTGGCAGAGCAGGGGCATGGAGACTTTGTGAAAGGGTTCCAGGAAAAACGGGGAGTCAGAACCCCCTGGTTCATTCAGGAGGAGGTCTGACATGCACACGGCTCCAGGTTCCACCCTCAGCAACACATAAAGGAGGCGGTACACAGCCATCATCCCAGAGCTCGGGAGGGAGAGACAGGAAGATCAGATATTCAAGGTCATTCATGGCTACACGGGAAATTGGAGTCTAGCCTGGTCTACATAAGACTGGAAGGGGTGTGTGCAAAAATGGAGACAGCAAAGAGTTTGCTGTGAAAAGAAGGAAAAAGCAGGGAGGTGGAAGGTGAGGAGTAGCCAGGGGAAGTTTCTCCACGACGGAGGACACTAGTAGGATTCAGGACAGCGGAGCTAATCAGCCAGGAAAGATGCAAGGGATGGAGAAAGAACCATTAGTGAGGTCCGGAGCAGGCCAACAAGAACCTGAGCGGCCCCAAGACAACCACCCCCTACTGAAACAGGACCCGGGACAAAACCAAACAAGCCTGAAGGCCAAGAGCAGGTCTCACAGCTATTTAACTAGGATGGGAAATTCATCTTTTTGTTTCTAGATGGGCTATTATTAAACACACATCAGAAGAAAGCCATACACTGCTTCAGTTATGTAGGACATCAGGCTTCTAGACACTTCCTTAAAAGTCCTTTGAGAGGACAAAACAATTACTTTATATACTAATTCATGGCTTGATAAAAACACATTTTGGAATAAGGTCTACTTGATCACATTAAATGTAAGAGATGCAGGGCCTCCGATGGCATAGATAAAAGCACCACACTGATTCGAGTGCCACAAAGCCTGTCTTCCAGGACATGGTGTGATAGCATTTATTTACCCTGGCATTATTAGAAAGTGAATAGTCACTAGCCTTCAATTTTCACGCCAATTGCACGAAAGAGATTCCATTTTCTACAGCATCTTGGATTGAAATTGACTTAGCATCTCAGAACTGTCAAAAAAATTCCTCTTAAAGAAATGGTTTGCTCTATAGAGACGATAAGGCAGGTGTCACCCTCCCCAGGTGGACATGCTATATTCACACTGTAGATGCGCAGAGAATAGCAGCTGCCAGCTCTGTGCCACCTCTACACGCAGGCATCCATACTGCAGGTGTTAGAGGACCCCATTTAAACATTTTAATGAGAAGGACACTTGGAAAATACACATCCAAAGACTGAGCTTATCATTGCTAACAGGTCAACCTGACACTTGCCTTCCAGGGCTAAGAAACAGGAAACCCTCTTCTGGTTTGAATTCAAAGCAGCACATGCTAACTCACCCTTGAGATTTATAGATCCAGAGCTTAGTTCAAGGAAACCTCCCAGGCGTGAGCAATTATAAAAGAAGGTCATTCTCTGTCACAGTAACAATAAAAACAAACAAAAAAAAACTACAGCAAAAAATGTCTCTATTTTAGTTCTTTCCATTTCAATTCATCACTCTGTGTTTTGTCTATAGACGTAGTTTTTGCAAATTTATTTTCTATTTTTTCTTTTTTATCTTTTTGAGACAAGGTCTCATGTATCCTAGGCTGGCTTTGAGCTCACCATGGAGGCAAAGCTGACCTTAAACTTTGCTTTTCCTGCCCATAACACCTGAGCCCTGGGATTAGAGGCATGCACTACCATGCTTCCTTTATGAAGTGCCAGGGACTGGACCCAGGGCTTCAGCGGGTTAGGCAGGCACTGCACCAACTGAGCGACACCCCAGCCCTGATTGTGTATGATTTAACTACCGTCCTTAGATCTCTAGAAGAGTGCACAGTCCACCATCTAAGTTCATCAACGTGAAACTGATCTGCATGGCAGTTAGGCCTGTGCCCTAAAACTCCGCACTGCTGGTTTCTCAATGGCAAAAGACCTGCACTCACTGCCTCCTTAAGGTCCAGGTGAGGGGCTTCCTGGGCGAGTTGGGGGCTGTATACTCCCACAGAGGCAGAGAGAAGCCTTTCCCACCCGAACTAACTGCAGACCAGCCCTCACTGAAGGACTTCCATCTTCAGGCTCCTCCCTCCTCAGGACACACAGTTTTGTCACCCTTGGGAAACAGAAGCATGTGTGTGTACCCGAGACTTCCAGGAGCATGAACAGTGGAGGGATGGAGAGTGAAAGAGTCTCACAGGGCAGCCAGTCTCACCATACACAGGGAGTTGAGCTCCACCACATGGACACACAGCACTGGCCCAGCAGCTCTTCCTAGAAACAGTTCTTGCTGAGCCTTCCCTTTTCCAGCTCGTAGTCCTACGGACAAGGGGGCTACTCCGAAACACAGGGAGAAGCTGCCAATTTTGCCACTTTAGGAACTTAGGTCTTAACTGCTTCTCTGTCTGGATCCTGTAACCTAAGGGACTGTTCCTTCCCAAGAGGCCCCTTCAGCCCCAACCTTTTGGTTCCTCATCTTTGCAACCTCCATTTTATTCCAGTTAGGGAGAAGTCTGCGATTCTTATTCCTTAACCCAGTCCTGCCTCCCAACACAGTCCAGGGTCGTGTCCCCCCCCCGCCCCCACCCCCGTTGCCAATCTATTGAGAGGCCAACCTGGAGCCCTGTTACTGCATTTCATCTCAGAAGCCGTGACTAAAACATATCTGCTCATGATTCCCAGGACCACAGGGCTCTGCTCATCCACTAAGAACAGGGGATAATTAAAACAAAACAAAAAAAAAAAAACCCACACCCACAATTTAAACTGCAAAGCATGAAATCAATATCGAAAGTTCCAAGCTGATTAAAATAGAAACCACTACGTCATCCAGACTCATGGCATAAACATAACATCAACAGCCACTAAGAATTCATTGAAAGTAAATTTATTGTTTGGATTAAAAACACACAAAAAAACAAAACTTTGAGACACATTTCCTGTATCCCAGGCTGGCCTCAAGCTCACTATGTAGTGGAGGGTGACCTTGAACTTCCGAGCCTCCTGCCTCCACGCCCCAAGTGCTGGGACTGCAGGCGCGTGCCACCACACCTGGTGTACAGCGTGCTGGGCCTCTGCGCACAGGAGGCCCGCACCTGGGCCGAGCCCCAGCCCAGCCCCCCGCGCCTGAAAAAACAATCGTGCAGCTGTGCTGCTCAACACAGTTTGACTCTGGCGCGCCGCTCATCTCTTCTCCGGCTTCAGTTTGGCTAGGCTGGGTGAGAAACACGTACAGACAAGGTTAGTAAGCCCAGTGAGGGGCTGACACACACACTTGCCTCTCCCCCAACAGCCCAAGGCGGGTCGTCTACACCACTGCAGTGAGGTTTGAGACCTGACCACGCTGTCATCCTGAGTCACGGTTTTCCAAAGAGCGAGCTCCGGCAGTGTGTCTGATGTCACCCAGTATCAAGGCCGGTCACCTCTGTTTTCTCTCAGACCCACGCCAGGCCGAGTCACCACTTCCAGGTGGCTGTTGTCACCGGAGGAGTCCGTTTTAGTAAGTTTGCAGCAGTATCGAGATAGCCCAGTGAGCAAAGGTGCCTGCTGCCAGCCTTCCTGACCTCAGGACACACCCAGGACACACATGGAGAGAACCTCCACATATGTGCCCACTCACACATACAAAATAAATCAAATTTAAAGAAAGACTGAAGTGTGACTTTTGCTCTTCTTTCCCACAGTGATAGATGGTCACGGTTAGATCTCAGCTGGGCATGGTGGTACACCCCTGCCATCCCAGCACTGGAAGGGCAGAAGCAGGAGGCAGAGTTGCAAGTTCAAGGCCAATTCGGGCCTCATGACAAGAGCGTGTCTTACAAAAGAAACAGAACATGTGTCAATGGGTAATGCTCCTTCCATGTAAGCTCAGCAGCCACATAAACAGCTGGGCTTGCCCGCACAAGCCGATAACCCAGGCTGAGGAAGGAGAGCTGGTGTGGCTGAAACAGCAAGCCCCTGGTCCCAGCGAGAGACACAGGCGAGAGGTGAGGTATGGATACTGAGACAATAAAGAAGCAACTGAAGACACTCAATGTTGACCTTTGGTTCTGTACACACACACACACAGGGGACCCCCAAACTGACACACACACACACACACACACACACACACACACACACACACACACA